CGACCTGGAATTTACGTGGCTTTGAACAAGTGGTACAGCGAGTCTGTGGTGGAGTCATAACTGGACCCACAGAGTTTTGGTTCTGTGGCACCATGAGGCTGCCTCTGCTCCTCCACCATCCCCCACTCTTCACAAACACCAGTGGGAAGCAAAGACACAAACACAAACGAAAACAGCAACGTGGGAAACCTAGCCTTTGTGTTTTACGCACGCGGTCATTTCCTATGTGCTCATTCTCTCCGCTTATGTACCTGTCACAGCAGCCCCACGTGGAAGCTACTAGTAGTGCCCCCATCTCCCAGGAATCCCAGAGACAACTGAGCACGAAAGTAGGCCATGGCCCCTGGAAATAGCGCTCCTGGTCCAGCCCCTTCCCCGCTCACCAGCTGTGGGAACTGGGGTCAGTTAAGGACCCTCCATGTCTTGTTCTTAAAGATGAGAATAACGACCTCTACCCCACAGGACTGTCACTCAGTCATATGTTCACTACACGTTGATTGAACAGCAAACAGTAGGAACTGTGCTATGCGCTTGATATATATACACTGGAAAACAAAATGGGCTTAAATGAGATTTCTTATATAAAGCTCTTAGCACACAGCCTGGCAAATAAAACATGCTTAGTAATAGTTAATGTCATTATGATTACTATTATTGTGGCTCAGTCAGCATTGGAATGAAAGTCTTTTTAAAAAAATATGTTTTTATTGATTTTTTAGAGAAAGAGGAAAGGAGAGGGATGGAGACCTAGAAACATCAGTTGGCTGCCTCCTGCTTGCCCTCCTACTGGGAATCAAGCCTGCAGCCCAGGCATATGCCCTGACCAGGAATCGAACCAGCAACCTTTTGGTGCATGGGACGATGCCCAATTAACTGAGCCACACTGGCCAGGGCAAGGTCTTTTTGACTCTCAAATCCTCTCCATAAAGAGGAGGTTTTGTAGGGACCAGCATGAGATAAGAACAGAAGGGGACTTGGGGTTGTCCAGAGAAGACGTCAAATGCTAGATTTTTATTATGTGCCATAGCCAGCTGCGTGATTCCTTTTATTTCCAAAGCATTTAGGTCTTCTCCTTCCTTTCTCATCGTCCACCCCTGTCAGATGTACACATGTCTTTCAATTTCCATAAACATCCCCCTCTCTGTGGGAATAAATGCATGAACCCTTGAAAGTGAACCCCGTGTGTTTGATTCTCCGGAAAGGTGTAGAAACCACCCAGACACGGTGCTAATGGGATGTGACAGAACTCACAGCTTCTCCGGGCCTGGGAGGAAAAATGTTGACAAAAGGGAAGCTTAATGAGCTTCCACCCACATTTCAATTATCCTAACAAGCTGCCAGAGGAAGCCCTGTTTGCGGGGCCGGAATCTGGAAAGTTTTGACAAGCCTGGGAGGAATCTATCTGCGTGGCAGCTGAGAAGGCTCACGGAGGGAAAACAGTCTTCCTCTGGGAGAGATGCATACAGATGACAAGGCCAAGCTGGCAGCCAGCTTTGTCACCTGGAACTGGAGAGGGCCCTCTGCTCAAAAACACCTCCCTCCTTAGCGATGCCCATTCAGTTGTATCAGCTATCACCTGCCACCATAATGCCGCGTAACAAGCACAACACCTCCGTGGCATACAATAATTATTGGTAATCTCAAGCCAATGGCCTCTCAAATCACACAGGGACTCTTGATCCCAGGCTCAGAAAACACATGAGATGACTTCTGCTGCTTTCTATTGGTCACAGTGGTAAGGTCAGCTGAAATCCAAGGTCTGGGAAATTGACTCCATCCTTTGATGGGAGGGACTACAGAGTCACATGGCAAAGAGTATGGGGACAGGAAGACCACTGACTGGGCCCATCAGTACATCAGTCTCTCCCAACAATATAAACATAACAGCCACCATTCCTGAACGGCAACGACGTGCCTACACTACGTCACAATGACAGGCTCTGAGTCTTGGTTTCAGCTGAGACATTCAAACCCTTGATGTTCCTAACCAAGAAGCCGGCCCTGCAGAGGCTCCAGGTGAAAACAGTTCTGTGCCCTTCGGTCCAACACCCACGCCCAGGGTGTACTGGTAAGAAGGCTGAAGTGGGGAACTGGGGAGAGGAACTTTTTTGGAGGAAGGAGTCCGGTGTGAAATGAGCCGCAGTCCCTCTTGGGGAGGACAATGACTCCTGGCCACAGCCTTGTATGAGGAACTTCAAGGAGACAGCTCTAGTTTGCTGTGTGTTCTCTGGGACCTGGGGGGGCTGGTATCTGACTTAGACCTGACAAACGTATAGACCAGGGGTCCTCAAACTACGGCCCACAGGCCACATGCAAATACAAATATTGTATTTGTTCCTGTTTTGTTTTTTTACTTCAAAATAAGATATGTGCAGTGTGCATAGGAATTTGTTCATAGTTGTTTTTTTTTTAAACTATGGGCCCCTGGGTGGAGGACTTCACCCAGGGGCCCTCCAACGGTCTGAGGGACAGTGAACTGGCCCCCTGTTTAAAAAGTTTGAGGACCCCTGGTATAGACTAACAGACTGTGGCTGGAGGCTGTCAAGACCAGAGGACGAGGATGGAGGGTAGAAGTAGAAGAAGATACCATGTCCATCTTGGGGCACCAAGGAAGCAGGAGTTTCCCACGAGTTGAGGAGATGTGCAGAACCTGGGATGGAGACAGCTTAAAAAATATCCCACCCGAAATCAATAGAAAAGAGCACTGACATCTACTCCCTGGCCCCCATGTCCCACCTTGTCCAGGGACTGAGCCATGTGGAAGCCACTAGAAGGGGCCCCAAAGAACACAAAGCACATCTCAAAAAATAAAGACTCAGCTTGGAACACCGGCCAACCCCAGAGGAACGTTGAATACCTGCCAAGCAGAGAGTGCCAACACCACTCCTGCCCTCGTCATCCTCCCTCTGTTCCCTCAGGCCTGTGGGGACCTAGGGAAGCCATCCACAACCCCCGTCCCAAAGCCTGAGCTAAGAAAGGGGCAAAGCAGCGCTACCATTACCCACACAAACACTCCACCTTTGTTGGAACGTGAAAAAGGTGCCCCCTGCAAGAAACTTTACTTCCATCTGTCTGATGTTTGTCCTAATATACTGTATGAGTTATCTATTGCTGCATAACAAAGTTCCCCAAGACTTAGTAGTTTAAAACAACAGCATTCATTACCTCCCAGTTTCTATGGGTCAGGAATCTAGGCACAGCTTAACTGGCCCTCTGGTTCTGGGTTTCTTACCAAGTTACAATCAAAATGTCAACTTGGGCTGTGGTCTCAATGGAAGGCTTGACTGGGGAAGGATCCACTTTTAAGCTCATTCACATGGTTGTTGGAAAGCTATTGGTCTGAGGCGACATTCTTTGTTCCTAGCCTTATGGGCCTCTCCATAGAGTAATTGAACCTGGCCGCTTGCTTCATCAGACAAGCACAAAAGAAGAGGAGAGAGGAGAGTACCAGCCAGATGGAAGACTGTCTTTTACCATCTAATCTCAGAAGTGACATTCCATCACTTTTAATGTTTTCTATTAGAAGCAAGTCACTAGGTCCAGCCCTAAAGGCTAGGGATCACACAGGGCATAAAACCAGGAGGAGGAGATAACTGGGTGGGCCGTTGCAGAAGCTTGCCCACTTCATATACTGATTTTATTAGAGCAACACACCACTTCCACCGGCCAAAGATCTGCTATACGAAATACACAGATCTGTACTGCCGATGACGTGAACATGCCCTCTAGTCTTGCGTGCTATACAACCTACCAGTCATATGTGGCTGCCTGGAGGAGCTGCTTTAACATCCTTTTCAAATGTTTCATTGTAGAAGTTCCCAAGCATTTATAAAAGCAGGGGAGATAATGGAAGAAACATGGCTATTCTTGTTTCCCTTATGCCCCACCTTTTCCTGCAAACCACCCGTTATTGAAAGCAAATCTCAGACATCCCGTTATCTCGTGTCTAGTAATTCCACACGAAGCCCCCATCCCTATTTACCGTCCCACAGTGAGCACGCGCGCCTGCATTTCACCGCTGCTCAGCCAGGGCTCGCAGTTCTCAGGTCAGTTCAGAAAGGTCTCTCACAGTTGGTTTGTTTGGAAGAACCTTTAGCTTTAACTGGAGCCCCGGGTTTTCATCAGCCCTTCAGAGTCGGCATTTTAATTACCGAGACGGAGCTATTCTGTGAGTAGAAGTGATGTAGGATGTTTTATTATCCAGGAATGACCAGCAAAGTGATGGAGGCGGCCCAGGACTTCACCCAGGGGCAGAGAGAGCCTCGGCTCCCCGCGCTGTGTCCGTGGACAGTGGAGAAATGAATGAGCTGCCTTCTTGCCGGCTCCTCAGGAGGGCGACGCACAGGCTATCTCTAATCCTCCCTTCGAGGTCGGGTGTTATGATGAGAAAATGTAGATGCGGGAGAATTCCATCTAAAGTCACATAGCTATTGCTGACAGCCGATACCCAACTCATGTCTGTTTCACCTTCCCAAGGGACTCTGGGAGCAAGCTAAAAACAGACACTCCTAGGACATGACAATACTGTGAATGCCTTTTTTAGTTGTTTTTTAAGATTTTTTCATTGCTTTTTAGAAAGAGAGAAAGGGAGAAGGGGAGAGAGAGAAACATGGATTGGCTGCCTCCTGCATGCCCCCTATGGGGGATCGAGCCTGCAACCCGGGCATGTGCCCTGACGGGGAATGGAACTGGCAACCTGTTGGGGCACGGGACGACGCCCAACCAACTGAGCCACACTGCCTCATCTCTCCTTGTGAAAGCCTTTTACTTGACATCGGCAAAACCTGAAGCTATTGACTTCGGTTTCCTAGTACTCGGCACAGAACAGGGTACACAGCAGGTGCCTAATAAATGTAGCCTATGAAAAGCCTGGCTGGCCAGCTTTAGCCCTGAAGTTGCCATCACACAGAACCCTGTACAAAGAAACCCCAGTTCTAACAGCCAGACAACCTGTCTGAAGAGCAGTTTTACTCCACGACCCCAGCCACCCTCCGCTTTACCTCAGCTCTCACCCCCTGGACAACGGTGGCGGCAGCAGAGGGCGCAGCAGACGCGGTGAGCAGCGGATCCATGCCCACACTTCCACATTCTGGGAACACTCGGTTTTACTTGCTTTCTGGAAACTAGGTCTCGGGAAGAGTCTGGGGGAGGAGTTCCCAGAATTATTTCTTTTAACGGGGCAGCGATGGCCAAGGGAATGGCATTCTTTCCTTCCATGAGACCGTCTCCCAAGCTGCCTGAAACCTCCCACGCACCCCACCCCTTCTCTTTGCCAACGACTCCTAATCCTTCAGGACTCGGCCTAAAGCTCATTTGCTCAGTGATGCCTTCACTCTCTCTCTCTACCCTACGTGAACTTTCATTCCTCTACATGCCTATCACCTGCCTCATCTGTCTTTCCCTCAGAACCATCAGCCTAATGAGGCACAGCTGGCCTCTGTCTTGCACTGGAACACAGTAGGCACTCAATAAACACTCATTCCTGACTGATTCTTTTTAAAAAAGAAAGCCATATTAAAACGGCCTTTTCTGAAGTCTCTTAAAAATAATCAGAGCCCAGAGGCATTCCATTCATAAAACAGAACAAAACTTGAAATTCATCTTTTTCTCCCCATTACTGGTCCCACAAACCTAACTATGCCAGCTGTTTTGTGTTCTGTCTCTCTCTTCCTATAATTTCTCTTATAATCCTTTCTGTCTACTTTGAGTTGTCATATCCATCCATTATCCAGATTCCAGAAAGCAAGGAAGGGCTAGACACAACCCAATAATCCTTAGAACGTGGGGTAGGACTGTAAACCTCTGAAGGCTGGGCTGTTTGCCCATTCTGTTCCCTGTTGTGTTCTCAGTTCCTAGGATAGTGCCTGGCACCTGGTTGGTAATCAATCAAGATTTATTGGTTGCACCCTAGCCGGTTTGGCTCCGTGGATAGAGCGTTGCTTACAGACTGGACAAGGGCACATACCTTGTTTGCAGGCTCCTCCCTGGCCCGGGCCCTGGTTGGGGCATGTGCAGGAGGCAACTAATCGATATGTTTCTCTCACATCGATGTTTCTCTCTGTCTTTCCCTCTTCCACTCTCCCTAAAAATCAATGGAAAAATATCCTCAGGTGAAGGATATAAAAAAAGATTTATTCATTGAATAATATATATTCTTTTAAATTTGTCACATATTTTTGTAGTTGTTGTTAAATGAATGGATGGACAAGTAACAAGAGGTGTTTCGGGAGAAAAAAGAAGGAAAAGATGAACAAAACCATATGAAAACTGCATCTTCTGGAGTCTCTTAAAGATAATCACAGCGACGGGAAGTTTGGCTGCCGAAGCAGAGGCCATACCAAGTGGAGCACAGCCCTGGGCATTCTCAGACCAGAGGCTGCTGTCGGCTGCTGACTCAGCAGCAAACAGCACTGGGGACCCGGGCAAGGTGCAGCTGGCAGCCTGGCAGCGATTTGGCTGACAATGTCCTCCTATGCGTCAGCGTAATTGGATTAGCATCCATGGAGACCGTCTCCCAGACCCTGCAAATGCAATACCGAGAGGCAGGCGCCGCAATTCATCTGGCATTATGAGGCACTGAATTGCCATCCAGTCCCGCGCCGCTCCTCGCTGCTTCGTGTGCGCTCGTTAGAGGAAATGAGGTGGATGCGACGAGCCTGGGAACAATTAAAATCCCCCACTTAGCCGGTTCCCAGCAGCGGCGCCCACGTTCTCCCGATAAGCACCGTGGTTTGCCGAGCTCTTGTGCACAGACGTTCGAGGGGTGGGGGTGGGGGTTTCAAATTCTGAGCAGTGGCTACCAATTCATTTTGCTGCATCCAAGGATATTAGGATGGGTGGTCAGGGCAGAGGGAACGAGGACCGCCGTGATATGAACCAACCTGAACAGCAGTCATAACAGACAGTGCCACAACCACCAGTCCTGGGCTCAGGCCCACGGGGAAGAGTATTTCTCAGGATGCGTCTCAGCAATTCGGCTGGGTGCTGGGCCACGGTCAAGAGCCAGGAAGACAGGACGCAGCCTTGAGTCCAGAGGGTGCGTTAAGACTAGGAGTGGGAGAACTGGGAGCAGGAGGAAGTGGGGAGGAGAACGTGGCGCTGGGCAGATGACTCAGAGCATCAAGAGACTGCTAGACTGGACTTCCTTGGAGGCTCGGGGTGGCCACTTCAAGGACTGTGTTTTGCTGGCAGCAGGGAGTGGCTTACAGCTGCTGGGGTGCAAGGCAGTGTGGGAGAAAAAGCAGATTCTGGGAGAAGACTGAATCCCAGTCCCACCATGCTCAATGGTTTAACCACTTCACCCTTGGCCCTTCTGATGGAGGAAAGAAGACACCCATAGAGCACACCCACAGGTTGAGAACCACTGCTGTAGAGCGAGCTGGTGGAGAGCTGTGACAGTTTTTTCTCCCCAACCCCCTGGGGGAGAAAGGGCTTTGCTCTCCTCATCTGGAGCCCAGTGGGAGGAGCTCGGAGAAGAACACGTTGAGCATGATCTGTGTCCCCTGAAGATCCGAGGACCCTGTGACTAGAGAAACCTAAGGGAGAACTCTAAGGGCTGGAGTCTGGCAAGCAACCATACTCCCACCAAAGGCGAGTGTTTTCCTTGGGGAAGGAAAGGGAGAAGGAGAGGGAGAGGTGGGGGCGGGGGGGGGGCAGCTAGCTGACCTGCCGGTAAATGAAAGATGCTTTGCCTAAGAAGGCCTCCAGGAGGGATGCTGAGACCGCAGTCTGGGGTGGCGGACCACAGAGAACCAAGGTCAGAGGGAGCATCCGTCCTGGACAGTTGGAGAGCACATCTCGAGTGCCCGCCAACTACAGGTGCGAGATGCGCGCCGAGTCCCTGCAGGCAGGTGTGCCTCCGTGCACCGAACCAAGGCGCTGGCCCAGGAGGGTGTGAGCTGCAGAAACCCAGCCCCGTGCGGCTCTCAGGTGCACACTCACGTCCCTGGGAGGGGCTGACATTGGGTTACCTCCAGGTTTGCTGTCCTGGGGGCGATGGACTCCACCTTGGGCCTGTTTCTTTTTCTTAAGCATCATCATTTCCCTTTGACATCTTCTCATTTCCTCACAGTTATGTTCAGACAGTTGTGGTTCTCGCACCAAATTTAGTACAAAAATGGCCAGATCATCTATCGACTGAAGACACTTCGCATTGGGGGTATAAATCCTGTTACACAGTCTGTAGATATTGCCAGGGTTGCAAATAACCTGTTCATGACCAGATAAGATCTTGTCCCTTCGGCAGTCTCCTCAGGCTCTCATTCTTCTCCCAGTAGGTCCTGGGGAAAGTAATCTGGCAGCAGACTTCAGCTTTCAAGCCACAATTACATTTAGCATTCAGTTCCCAGTGTGGCAAACCTGACATTTTCAGACACTTCCAAAATGCCAAAGGGAAGAGCTGCATCTTTTGTTTCAAGCCAGTGTCTTCCAAGTCAGTTTTCTACTGAGTAATTTATCTGAGCCTTGATTGTTCCATCTGTAAAATGGAGCCAATGATAACCATCCTCTCTCACAGGGTTGCTCTGAGGATGGATGAGTGACTGGAGAACTCGAGTTATTCCCACTGTTGCTTCCATCATCCCCTACGAGTCAGGGGAGGAAATCAGTGGGTCTGGTTCATGACAGCTGGTGGCCAACATTGCATCCAGGCTGAATTGATCAAATTCACTGTATTGATCAAACTGACCGACTGTGACACTTTGGGTGAATTCTGATCAAGTACGCGCCAACTGGTACGACGGCCAGGTTCTGTTTTGTCTTGGCTGTTCAACCCTTTCCGAGCTCTGAAAGCTACAGAAAGAACAGGAAAGGGAGCCGTGCTGTAGGGGAGTAGAGGGGCCAGGCCACAGGGTTTGTGGGAGAGAGTGGTTAAGGACAAAGCTAAAAGGAAGCAGGGCAGGCCCTGATGGTGAAGAGCTGGCTGCCAGGAGGAGGTGTCCAGCTATTCTCCCCTGAGCATCAGGGACTGGGGAGAGAAATCAGACCAGAAAAGAGTGCCTTTCCTTTGTGTGACTCAATGCAGGGACCCCACAAGGAAAGGGGTGCATCTCTGCTATGAAAAGCCCCTAAAGAAAGAAAAAGGAGAGGTGAGAAAACCACCTCCTGGAGCCTCAGTGTCTCCATCTGCAGAATGGGAACTAGACCACAGAGTGCTGGTGAGACCTCACACACGGGAGAGGTGCACGCTGTCCACATTCCTCCCTTCTTGGGGGTCTCCCACCCCATCGTCACTGCTCTGTGGAAAATCAAAGACCCAGCAGGCCCTGGAAGGAAAGGCTGTCGCTCCTTGGGACCTAGAGGCAGAGAGCTAGGTCTCATTCATCTCTTTTCCCCACAGGGCTGCTCCCAGGACAGCAGTCAATCAATGATTCTTTTTTTTTCTTTTTTTCTTTTTATTGATTTCAGAGAGGAAGGGAGAGGGAGAGAGAAAGAGAAACATCAATGATGAGAGAGAATCATTGATTTGCCTCCTGCGAGAAAGAGAAACATCAATGATGAGAGAGAATCATTGATTGGCTGCCTCCTGCACGCCCCCTACAGGGGGTCGAGCCTGCAACCCAGGCACGTGCCCTTGACCGGAATCGAACCTGGGATCCTTCAGTCTGAAGGCCGATGCTCTATCCACTGAGCCAAACCAGCTGGGTATCAGTGATTCTTCTTAAACTTGCACACATGCCCGCACGCAATCAGGAGAGGGAGGAAATACACCAGCACGTTTCCGTTATCGCTCAGTGGTGGCACTCTATCTCCTGTTTGCTTCTCTGCATTTTCTGGCCTTCCTAGAATACACGTGCATTTTTTGCGGCATTATCCACGATATTGAACAACACCCCTCCCCCACTGGTACTAGAGGTTACCTCTGGGAAATGGGATGGGAAAAATAGTTAATTACGGTAGGTTTTGTTTGTTTTGTTTTACATTATGTACATCCTGACTTTTCACCTTTTGTAATATTTTCAAAAGAAAAACATAAGCCCTGTGCACAGGTAGCACCAGTGTTGGCATGTGAAAGACTTGATTCCAAATCCTGGTTCACCCACATAGTAATCTCTCTAAACCTCAGTTTCTTCATCTGTAAAATGGGG